AATTGCAAGTATTTGAAGTTCTTTTTTTTTTTTTCCCTCCCTCCTATATCAACGTATACTTTTCCTGAGGCAGGAATCCAAGTAGAAATGTGAAGAAAAACTGTAAACAATTTCTTTGCAAAATCCCTGCAGAATCAGTGATCTCACCTCTATGGTACATTCTGGCTTAGCTGGTATTTATGTATTTGTAAGTGCATACTATCAAATCTTATATGACTGGAGAGGAATTTTTTTTCTCTTTTTAAGATTTTATTTTTAAATAATCTCTTCACTCAGTGTGGGGCTTGAATTCACAACCCAAAGATCAAGAGTTGTATGCTCCACTGACTGAGCCAGCCAGGCGCCCCAAGGAATTTACTTTTGATTATTTTTCTTGACCTTATTCTTTTCCTAATACGGCTTCGGCTTATAGTTGTTCATGATTTTGAAGCTCTAGCCTTTAAAAAGAAATTCTAGCTTTGCATTACCTTGGGAGGGAAAAAAAGTGAAATAAAAAAATAAAGTTTTAACAACCCTTTGGAAATCTGGAGCTCAGTATTATCCTTTCAGATATTATTACGATTACTGTAGAAGCTAGAGTTTCAGAATGAAAAAAATTCCTAACCATTTTTGATATATGGAAATACCTGATAGTCCATGTTTTGAATATTATACTCTTTTCACAGTTCTAGCTATTATGGAATAAAGAATATGTGAGGATTCAGTATGAAAAATGGGCTTTGTCCATAGAAAAAGCATATCATTTTAACTTGGCACTTGGTAGTAGATTAATAGTCTGTCAACTCTTCTTAGCACTCAGCAGCCTTGGATTTAAAGTGTCCATGGCCTTTATTTCTGAATTCCTAGTAATCTATTAGGTCCCTGGGTCCAGCAGTTCAAGGATCTTTGAAGGCAGTATTTTCTCTCTGTGCTTTTGCCTGTGGAAGTCTTCTGGAAGCTGAGACCCCCAGAACTATACTGTTGACTTTTGCAAAGAGTCCTTTCTATTTCCCAAGTCGGCCCAGGGCCCAAGTTACCAATTTGGAAAGCTTGATGGAAAGAGCAGAGGAGTGAATGCCTAGGAGCTTCAAAGAGAACACAGGTTCCTTTATTTAAGGGTGTCCTGGGGTCTTTATGATTCTGTGATACACGTTCAAGTTTGAAAACTAATTACTCTCTTTTGTTCTCGGGTCAGTTTGACTGCCTGCGATCTACCTCAGTGGTCTCCAAAGTGGGGCACATGTGTAGTAAGCCATTTGGAAAGCAGGAAAAATATACTAGAGCTATTTATGTTACTTTTTTTTTAAGATTTTATTTATTTATTTATTCATGAGAGACAGAGAAGCAGAGACATAGGCAGAAGCAGGCCCCATGCAGGGAGCCTGATGTGGCACTCCATCCCAGGTCTCCAGGATCACGCCCTGGGCTGAAGGCGGCACTAAACCACTAAGCCACCTGGGCTGCCCTATTTATGTTACTTTTTAACTCATCCTTTAAGATACTTATTTGAGAAGGCGAGAGAGCTCCTGTGAGGTAGCTGTGGGAGGGGCAGAGGGAAAGGGAGGAGAATCCTCAAGCCAACTCTCCAGTGAGTGCAGAGCTGATCCCAGGATCCTGAGATCAAGAGCCAGTCCCCATGTGACTGAGCTACCCAGGCACCCCATCCTTTAAATTTTTTTCAGTAGCTTTTATAATATGTTGTTTTATGACATACTGTGTTTAAATATATTGGTTACAATAGTGGTAAAATAGTTTATGCACATAATTTTAAATAAATTTTTCTATATTGGGGATACTTGAACAACCTTATTAGGCAGGTTGCTTAAGTGCTTTAAAATGTTTGCTTTTATTTTTTTTTAAATTTTTATTTATTTATGATAATCACACACACACACACACACAGAGGCAGAGACACAGGCAGAGGGAGAAGCAGGCTCCGTGCACCGGGAGCCCGACGTGGGATTCGATCCCGGGTCTCCAGGATCGCGCCCTGGGCCAAAGGCAGGCGCCAAACCGCTGCGCCACCCAGGGATCCCAAAATGTTTGCTTTTAAAGCATGTAAAGATAGGGCCTGGCATATGGTAAGCATCCAGAAAGTGTCAGTACTATTTTTTTTTTTTTTTTTATGATAGTCACAGAGGGAGAGAGAGAGAGAGGCGCAGAGACATAGGCAGAGGGAGAAGCAGGCTCCATGCACCGGGAGCCTGATGTGGGATTCGATCCTGGGTCTCCAGGATTGCGCCCTGGGCCAAAGGCAGGCGCCAAACCGCTGCGCCACCCAGGGATCCCTAGTACTATTAATCATTATAGTGGGTTTGGGTTTCTTTATGCTGTCTTTCAGCATTGCTGTTACTTTCAGTATTGCTATAAGCTCTGTACCTAGCAAGGACAGTCCATGGCTACTGATAAACTAAATCTAGAAAGTGAGATTCATTTTTTCTGTGTCTATCTTTCAGTTCAAGTGAAAGTGTTTAGGAATACTTGTTGCCTCAGTTCAATGGTCTTTAGAGGCAGCCAGCTCCCAGCTCTAGACAAATACTCCTTTTATAGCCTTCCTTTTGCATGTGTACAATCACCATTTATCATTCAAAAACTTAGTAGCTGGTGGTCTGTCCATCTGATCTGGCCTGCCCTGAGCCAGGCTGAAGCTGTTGGAGAAGGAATGAAGAATGTTGGATCAAGTCCAAATTATATTTCTTGGATATACATTTCTGAGGAAGAAATGTTGGTTGATAAGTTAAAGAGTGTGACATTTAAAAGTGTGCTCTTGTTGCCCATAAAGTGATAATAAACGGCTCTGCTCTTGAAAAAAAAACTTAACATTCAGGACTAGCTTTATGTTTTGCGTGTACTATATAGTATCTCATTAAAGCCAACCTGAGATGATTCTCAGAAAACAACAGATTACTGTATTTAACACTATATTCTAACTATCAACTTGATTTTTTTGTCTGCCTCACCAGAATGTAAACTCCCTGAGGTCAGGGACCATATTAGTCCCGTATCCTCAGGACTTTGCATTCAGTAAATACATGTTGAATTGATTAGTTGCTTGTCCAGTCATATAGTTAGTTAAGTGGTAGAACTGGATTTAAATCCACCTCTGTCTTTACCCATTAACTCATTTAATTTCTTATCCCTGCAAGGATGACTTTGTCTTCATTTCACACATACAGAAACTTCTGGAAAGAGCAATGACTTGCCCAAGGAACCACAGGAGATAAATGGCAGAGAGGCATTCAAACCCAGGATGTCTGACTTCATCTGTTATTCTGGCTACCTCTCCACTGGGCCAGCAAATCATTTGACCTTATTAAGACAAAAGTTTTTGGGTTTGGGTTTGTTTTTTTTTTTTTTTTTTATGATTTTATTTATCTATGAAAGACAGAGAGGCAGAGACACAGGCAGAGGAAGAAGCAGGCTCCCTGCAGGAAGCCTGATGTGGGACTCTATCCCAGGATCTCAGGATCACAATCTGAGCCAAAGGCAGACACTCAACCACAAAGCCACCCAGGTGCCCCAAAAGTTTCTGTTTCTAAAATGGTTTTATGTACAAATGCCATTTCAGAGAAAAATACAGAGTTACAGATCTGGAATAGTCATAGTATGGAAGTGTTACAGTGCATTCTCAAATTCCACTTCAAGAATAAAAAAAAGGACTTGAGTAGAGAAAACCAATTTTAATGTTTTTTTTGGAAGGCTCTTTAACATGTCCTCACATCCGTGTACGTATTTTAGCTGTCTTCTACATTTTCCTTCTGTATATGCACAGTATGGTATAATCAGTCCCATTTTGTAGTATTTTATGGAAGTAATGAATCAGATTATTTAAAATCTTGTTAGGACACTGCCTGCCAGAAAATGAACAGGCTAGGTTTTTTTGTTTTTGTTTTGTTTTGAAAGGTTTTATTTATTTATTCATGAGAGACAGAGGCAGAGAGACAAACAGGTCCCCTGCCAGAACCTGATGCGGGACTCCATCCCAGAACCTCGCGATCATGACCTGAGCCAAAGGCGGACGCTCAACCACTGAGCCAACCAGGTGCCCCGGGTCTGGCCTGTACTGTATTTGGTTTTGTTTTCCTGTTGCTCCTCCTTTCTTTCCTACTGGCAGCATTGCCTGGACAAATGCTGTGCTCAAGGCAGAAATCAGTGCTAAGAATTACCCCCCCAGTCTCCATTGCATAGGCAAAAAAGAGAAACACTGTCCCTAGCCTCTTCGCACTAATAAAGTGTTTTCCCCTGGACTGCCTTCCCAATTCTGGCTCCTACCCTTTCTAGCATATTCGAATTCACAGGGGGAAGACCTGGGGAAACCGATCCCCTTCTGCTAAATGGCTTGTATGGGGTGACTGATATGCTAGACATTTCACAAACTACATAAGGGGGGGGGGGGGTTGTAAGTAAACTACTTCTAGTCCCATCCCTTCTTGTGATGGTGTCATGAAGAATATGGCAATTCTTAGGTTTATAGGTATAAAAACTTTAAAAGTTATACCATGTTCTACAAAATGCGGCCTTTCATTAACACTGATCCTAGGCCCGAGGGTCCAAATACCTTGTATTTGAATATTCCCCATCTTGTTGGCAGGTGGAGGTCTCCTCCTACCTATCCATAACCAGTAAAAGGCAGAACCTGAGTCCTTCTAACATGCTTTGGACACTACATGACACAATCAGGCATTAATTTACCAACAGCAATCAAAGGCACACTTTCTGGAACAAGACAGCTGGATTCAAATCCTGACTCCCATCATTTATTAGTCTTGTAATCTGAGAAGTGGGGTCAAGTAGGAGTTCCAACATCACAGAATCGAGCTAAAAATCAATCCTGTAAAGAAGTTACTCCCGCTTCCGGTGGGTCTCCGGCCCTTCCGCGGCGCCGGGTCTGCCCCGACGCGCGAGCTGCCCCGGCCCAGGCCCCGGCCCAGGCCCCGCCCCCTGCCCGGCCCCGCCACGCGCAAGCGCAGTCGCGCTCCGCCAGCCACCCCTCCCAAGGCTTGCGTGCTGGCCGTCGGCGGGAGACTGGGTCTCGCGATGTGCGTCTGCGTGTGCGTGCGCGGTCCTTGCGAGCTCGCGCACGCCTCCCCTCGCAGTCCTGGGCTGTGGCGGCCTCTTCCTCCTGCGTTTGAGGCAGGACCCTGAGAGGTGGCCGCGGCGAGAGCTGAGAGTCAGCGTCCAGTTCGCCGCCAGCGGCCTCGCTGCCTGCCCCTCTGACTTGGGCTCTTCGCGCAGTGCCGAGGCTGCGGGCTGTGGGAGGGGAGCGGGGCCGGCGGGAGCTTCCCAGCTGATGGGCAACCCCTGGGCGCGCTGAGGGGCCGAGCTACCAGCGGCTGAGGTAGGTGGGCGCGCGGGGTTTTGTCAGTCTGGCTCCGAGCGGAGTCGGGGCGGCGGGAGCTCGTGGAGAAAGGCGAGGAGGCGGCCAGGACGGGAGTGGCCCAGCCCGCGGGTGCGGAGAGGTCTCCGACCCACGTCTGAGGAGGGGCTCTGGCCCAGCCCGCCGCGGGAGGAGGAGGGGCCCCGGACGTAGCCTGCTCGTCCCTCGGCGTGGAGCCATTATTGGGGGGAAATGCCTCCTGCGGCGGGGGGGGGGGAGGGGTCACCCTTTCTTTTCTTCGAGAGGTCTAAATTAGCCGTCCTCCGTGCTCCCCGTGTTAGATTAAAGCCTGCCGGCTTCGAGATAGACGTCTAGATTGAGTGGCCTGTGGACTTCTGCAGCTCGCACAACTCCCAAGTGCACGGATAGCGGGCTCTGAATCTTGCTTCTTGGAGATTACACGACTCTTTCTCTAGTGTGGGCGTGTATCTTCTGCAAAGTTTTTATTGCTAATACATTAATAATCTCTTTTGGTTACAACAGGTAATGCATTTCCAAAAGGCTCTTGTCAAATAAGGATTCTGGCCCCGGGGAAACTGCGCGTGGGGCACAATTAAGGGGTAGAAAGAAGACAAAGAAGGCCGTTATTTATGATCTGTCCTGGTATCAAAACTTTCCGTGGTGGGACTGGATGCATAGCTTCTGGCATTCGTCTTGGCCTTTGCTGAGTAGACTTTGAGTGATGTGGGTCACAAATGGACTTTGGTTTGGAATTATTAAAAAAAAAAAAAAAGATTCTATGTAATCGTTACAACCCAAACCAACCTGAAAAAAATCTTTGAGAATTACGTGATGTTTAGATCTTTGGAAGAGAGCAAAACTTGGATTTCGTGAAAGGAAGATTTTCTGCATGTTTAGAAAGCTTCAGGAATGCTTTGTGAAGTTACTAAAAATAGTTTTAGTTCTTTTTGTTGGCAGTAATGAGTGCCACATTCAAGAGAAGAGAGGAATTGCTTCATAAAGAATGGCTCACCCAAGGACTTTTGGGTTTAAACGCAGTAAAAGAGCTTTGAGCATTGCAAGTTTTAGTGTGTGTGTGTGTGTGTGTGCGTGTGTGTGTGTGTGTGTTTTAAGGTTTATTTATTTTAGCGGATGGGGGAGGCTATGGGAGCGGCAGGGCAGGAGGAGAGAGAATCCCAAACGGACTCCCCGCTGAGCTTGGAGCCGGACGCGGGGGCTCAATCCCACGACCCAAGCGGAAATCAAGAGTCAGTCTCAACCCACTGAGCCACGCAGGCGCCCCAGTGTGTGGTTTAAAAATCCTGATTTAGTCTTAGTTAAAATATGTCGAAGCTCTTAGTTGACTCCCATATATATATAAGATGAACCATCTTTAAGGTAATTAATCTTTGAGAGTCTACGCTTTGTTACATAACTCTTGGCTTTCTTTCAGTCCAAACTTTATAGAAATGTATTCATTCTGACTCTCTTAAGAAATGTGGCCTGCATACTTTGAACTCTGTACTGTATTGTGGGAAGAGTCTTACAAGAAGGAACAGTAGGCTGACAAGCCCTGAAGTAGGAGTAGGAGACATTATTAAGAGTAGGATTAATTAATGCCTGTGTATGTAAATAGTACTTACAAACATTCATATCCTGTGTGTGTGTTGTGTGTGTGCAGATTATGATGCACACAAGGATCTAATGGTGTTGATTCCCATCTTAAAAGGTTGGAATTTGAATATAGAAAGGATTGGTTTTAGCTCTGTTTCCTTATTAACTACAGAAGTGACTGTCATGGTGAATTTCTTTTCCAACTCTTTTTTGTTTGTTTAAGAGAGAGCTGGCTCAGGCCTATGGGTGAGCAGAGTAGGGAGGGACAGAGGGAAAGAGAATCTAAGTTCCACACTAGTGTGGAGCCCCACTTGGGGCTCAGTCTCGCCCCTGTGGTCATGACCCTAGTGAAATCAAGAGTTGGACACTTTAACCAGCTGAGCCACCCAGGTGCCCCTCTTTTCCAGCTTTTTTTTTTTTTTTTTTTTAAGATTTTATTTATTCACAAGAGACACACAGAGAGAGGCAGAGACATAGGCAGAGGGAGAAGCAGTCTCCATGCAGGGAGCCCAATGTGGGACTCCATGCAGGACTCTATCCCTGGACTCCAGGATCACGCCCTGAGCCGAAGGCAGGGAGCCACGCAGACGTCCCTCTTTTCTGGCTTCTTAATCAGTTATTGAGTAAACAAAATGCTGATTTTTTTGACAGCAGGGAAGGAAAACACAAAATATAGATAGAAGACTAGCCCTTAGCAATGATCTTTAAGTCAGTGTATCATTGTTTTTCCATTGGAATAAACAACTTTACTCCTGTTTTGTGTCCTAGAGCTTAGCATAGTGTTTTGCATGGAGTTGGCTCTCGACAAATGTGAGCTGTGTCAGAAGTAAATTAACATAATACAAACCAAATGCCTAAATTCCTAGAGAATATTAAAGGAATTGGTGAGAGGTGCTTTTTTTTTTCCAAGTTACAGGTCTACTTTTTATTTATTTATTTTTTCATAGAGAGGCAGAGACACAGGCAGAGAGAGAAGCAGGGTCCATGCGGGGAGCCTGACGCGGGACTCTATCCTGGCTCTCTGGGATCACACCCTGGACTGAAGGCGACGCTAAACCGCTGAGCCACCCGGGCTGCCCTACAAGTCTACTTTTTAAGTAGTGTATTTTTTTTCAGTGTTTGTTCGTATCTGAGTAGAAGATACATGGCAGCATCTTGCCTTTAAAAGCTTAATGTAATATAAACTGAGACTCGGTATCTCTGTATTAGCTGAGTGCTAATGTATCGTGAATGTTCTGCTACACTAAGAGAAGGTAAAGTTAAGGGAAGTAAGGTCCAGAAGAAAGGTTTAGTAAATTAATGATAGGAACTGAAAAAGCATGAAATGTAAAGCACTGAAATAGACTGTAGGAAGAAATGTTTTTTTCCTTTACTGTCCGTGCTACTTGTGGAAGGGAACTTGTACCTTTCTACCTCTTTTTTACTAGAGCTTTCTTTGCAGCAGAGGAATTTGTGAATAATAAAATTGAAAAGGGCATCACTTTTTCTCTTAAAATCTTCTCAGAGGTCTGTTTCTCTCTTTTTTTTTTTTTTTGCATGTTGTCTCTAGTTCAACCTTATTGGCAATAAACTAATATTTTGATTCCTGCCTAATTCCTGTTTATATTTCTGAATTAGTTTATAACTTGAAGGGGGAAAGGAATGTGGTTAGTTCCTTCACAAATTCCAACATTAGCTTTTCTTGAATATGGAAAACAAAGCTGTTTGATTTTGTAGATATTATCAACAGAAAGGTTTTGTGGATTTTTGGAGAGAGGAGCTAAAGACATGAATAGAAACTTAAACAGGAGGTTTTTTTTTTTTTAAGATTTTATTTATTTATTCATGAGAGACACAGAATGAGAGGCAGAGACACAGGCAGAGGGAGAAGCAGGCTCCTCGCGGGGATACCGATGCGGGACTCATCCCAGGTCTCCAGGGTCACGCCCTGGGCTGAAGGTGGCGCTAAACCTCTGAGCCACCTGGGCTGCCCAGAATTTTTTTTTTTTTTTAAAGATTTTATTTATTTATTCATAAGAGACACACAGAGAGAGGCAGGCTCCATGCAGGGAGCCCTATGTGGAACTCGATCCTGGGACTACAGGATCACGTCCTGGGCCAAAGGCAGACAACTCAACCACTGAGCCACCCAGCATCCCTAAACAGGAATATTTTAAAGTGGGTCTTATGTTTTCATTTTAGTAGAGCTGGGTGATTCTCATGGTAGGGGTTGAGTTTTGCCCTCCAGGAGATATTTAGCAACATATGGAGAAACTTTAGATTGTCAAATTGGGAGGGAGAAGAAGAGAATGTAGCTACTGACATCTAGTGGGTAGAAGCTAGGGATGTTCATAAGCATCTTAAAATACACCAGACACCCACTCCCCCCAAGAATTGTTTGACTCAGATGATAATGCTATTATTGAGAAACCCTGATGTATTTGTAGATTACATTGAAATTGTTGATCTGATGTCAGGTTACCTGAATTCCTTTTTGGCTTTACCATTTCCTAATGAGTGCCATTGTCAGGTTGCTAAAAATCTCTCAGTTTCTGTAAAATAGGTCTAATAATAGTATGTTCCTTATAGAGTTGTGTGGATTAAGTCAGATAATATGCAAAGTCCCAAGCTTATTACCTGGCACATAGTAAATGTTCAAAGACTTAACTTTCAGCTCATATTACTACATGTGGAACACATTTTGATGCTCTCTCTTAATTTCTGAGCTGAAATTAGAATTTGAGCTGGTGAAGTGATTAATAACCTATTTCTTATTATATCCTTAGGGACTGAGTGAAGAATTGCTCCTTTTAATATTTGTGTTTAACTCAATCTTGTTTTACAAGACTTCAGCCATAAACAAGTAGCTTTTTATTATAGATATTCTTTCTTTATAGTTAAGACTTTTTTTTTTTTTTAAGATTTTATCTATTTATTCATGAGAGACCACAGAGAGGCAGAGACACAGGCAGAGGGAGAAGCAGGCTCCCTGTGGGGAGCCTGATCTGGGACTTGATCCTGAACCCAGGATCATACCCTGAGCTGAAGGCAGACACTCAGCCACCGAGCCACTCGGGCATCCCTATAGTTAAGATCTTAAGATAGTTGGCAAATAGCTTTGTATGTGTTGATTTTCAGGAATTATTTAGTAATTTAACAATTCAATTCTATGACTTGATTTTCATTTCCTTTTACCTTTATAACAGGTTTTGGTGCAATTTTACATATATGGTATAGGCAAACATTAACAACTTGGGGGCTAGATCTTACTATATACATCTGTGACTTTTTCTAAAACTGAATTAGAACCCGTATCTTTATACCTTATTGAAATATAATACTGTAGTGTCACCAAACTCATTCTCTATGTGTCTAGATAATATGGCTGTTTAGGGCTGGCTTGTTTTGGTGGTGATTGTAATACATACTTTATAAAGAGAAAAAAATCACAGGGATGTCTTCACAGACAAAACAGAGACTGGTCTGTTCATTAGTCACAGGGCTCTTTTAAGGGAAGAAAATCCACACATGTTTATAATCAAGGAGGAAGCAGTATTGTACATTCAACTTTCTGTCTTGATAACCATACCTTCAAAATAGGAAGTATTTTATTGTTACCCATATTTTTGTAGTATAATTCTCACTTGTATAAGAACTCATTTTAGCTAATGGAAACCTCTGTTCACCCTTTATATTAGTACTTCCTCCTATTTAGATAGATTGGGGTTTTTTGTTTTTTGTTTTGACTGATTAGTTAATTTTTTAAAAAAGATTTTCTGTATTCATGACAGATGTAGAGGCAGAGACACAGGCAGAGGGAGAAGCAGGCTCCCTGTGGAGATCCTGATACAGAACTCAATCCCAGGACCATGGGATCACGACCTGAGCCAAAGGTAGACGCTCAACCACTGAGTCCCCCAGGTGCCCCTGATTGGTTAATTTAAAGGGAGTCAGTACCTTGAGAGATTGTGTTCTTTGCTTGGCACATTCAGTGCTTTATAAAGTGTAGTACACTGAGAATTCTTTGTTTTTAAAGATTTATTTAATTTAGAGGAAGCATGCATGTGTGCGAGTTTAGGAAGGGGCAGAGGAAAAGAATCTTCAAGCAGACTCCCTGCTGAGTGCAGTGATAGAACCCATGAAATCATGACTTTAGCCACAACTAAGAGTACGATCCTTAACTGACTGAGTCACCTAGGTGTCCCTTTACTAAAGATTCCATATTAATAATAAATTATAAGGGCAGCCCAGGTGGTTCAGCGGTTTAGCGCCGCCTTCAGCCCAGGCAGTGATCCTGGAGACCCGGGATCGAGTCCCACGTCCGGCTCCCTGCATGGAGCCTGCTCCTCCCTCTGCCTGTGTCTCTACCTCTCTCTCTCTCTGTCTCTCATGAATGAATAAATAAAATCTTTAAATAATAATAATAATAAGTTATAATAAGGAGGAAGTGTCCACCTTGTGGCAGCTGTGGCCAGATCAGAAGTGTATGTATGTAAGAAATAGAATAAAAGGCCAAAAGAAGACGTTCTAAGAATGTTAAGCAAATGAAAAAAAAATATTGTTACTAAGAGTTCTTGTGTTTGTTGTTATCCTTTTAAGGTTTCATGATCTAGAAGAGCCTATAACATGTAAGATTTATTCTGTACTTTATCCACTTTTCTAGTTCCTAAGCAGAAGACATGGCTACTAATGTAGTATAACAGTTGAGGTATCTTGTGTGAAGTAAGTCCATATCCTTGATTAAGTTGAGGAAAACAAGTATCTCTGAATCTGTTGATGTGTGTTTGTTTATAAGTGGTCTAGAGTCTTGCCTGTCAGCATAATTTTTTTTTTCTGTCTGTAATTTTAGATAGCCTGTATAGTTTTCGGAAGATGGGCTATTTTCCCACTGAATGCTGTCTTACAGGTATATATTTGTATTTTATTTTTGGTAGAAAATGATGCATCCTGTTGCCAGCAGTAATCCGGCTTTCTGTGGCCCTGGCAAGCCTTCCTGCCTCAATGAAGATGCCATGAGAGCTGCTGATCAGTTTGACATATATTCCTCCCAGCAAAGCAAATATAGCCACACAGTCAGCCACAAACCAATGGCTTGTCAGAGGCAAGACCCGTTAAATGAAACACACTTGCAGACTACAAGTGGCAGAAGTCTAGAGATAAAAGATGAACTAAAGAAAAAGAAAAATCTCAACCGATCTGGAAAACGTGGCCGACCTTCAGGAACCACCAAATCCGCAGGGTACCGTACCAGCACAGGCCGACCCCTGGGAACCACCAAAGCAGCTGGATTTAAGACAAGTCCAGGCAGACCTTTGGGTACAACTAAAGCTGCGGGATACAAAGTAAGCCCAGGGAGACCTCCAGGTAGCATTAAAGCTCTGTCCCGTCTTGCTGATCTTGGTTATGGCTGTGGCACCGCTGCTTTTCCTTACCCTATGATGCACAGCAGAGCAGTTCATGGGGTAGAGGAAACCAGCAGCGAAGTCAAACCACCCAATGAGTGAATGAGGCAGGAAAGGAGGGCCAGGTTTAGAAGGAAGATTGTGAATAATCCCAAAGCTTCTTGGATTTATTTTGACATACATAATTTTATGGCCTGGGCTTTCCAAATTGTTTCCCCATTTGATTTGTTTTCTTTTGCTCAGAAACTGCCATATGCTGACAGATGCACTCAGGGCATGAGCAGTGGCATTGTATTTGTATATAGGTTCAAGTGTAACACCTAACTAAATCATTTTTGCTTTTCTTTTAGAGTTCTGGTTGTGTCTCATATTTCATTACTCCTTTGGGCCATTCTAAATAGATGCTTTATGTACTAAACAACTGAAACCATTATACCTGTTAGTTTGTGAAGTAAACCTACAGTATAATAAAGGTAATATCCAAGGTATTTTTAACTGATGGAACAAAGCAAACTAATGATTCAGGATTACTTGAGGTAATGGCTGTGAGTTTTTGTAACATTTATTTTCATGAGACAAGACTCAGATATTTGTATGCTTTGGCATTTACATAGAACTTCAGATGTTAAAAATCTTACTTTTGTTCTAGGTTTAAGCAGCAGAATCTTATTTATTTTATTTTATTGATTTACATGGTGTTAATTGATTTAACCCTTATTTCTAAAAACTCTTTAGTGTTTGCCTTTCAACAATGATATGTTGTGTATTTCTTAATTGCCTAAGAGCATATATACCAAACACTACAAACAATTCATATTTACAGAAAAATTCAGCTTTTTAATAAAAACTGCACATTACATTTTTGGTGAAATATGCATTCTGAGAATAGCATACTTAATAGAAAAAGAAACATTCTTAAGGTCTGCATGTAGCTGTAGTCACTACAATTTGCCTTTCATATATTTAGTTTTAAAGCATTATGCTTAAAACATTTATTAATGTTCATTTATTAAAAATGTTTTTTAGTTTCTTCCCTGAGAAATTGTCCCATTACATTAGCACTTACTGTGGTTTCAGGTTTATATCTGCCAAAGGACGCAAATCAAGTGGTAGAGTCTAAAACTGTTATAAATAAACTGCAATTGTCTGTCAGAACCCAAATATTAAGGAATACATAGGAATACCATCTATGCATGCATCATGTAAAAAAAATATGTTGATAAGTTTCATTGAAATTTAATTGTGGCTCCAGTGAGACCACTTATCTAAAAGAAAATTTTTCCAACGTCTGCTTTAGAAGCAATATAGAAAAAAAAGGTATTGGGTAGATATGGATGGTAGGGACAGAGAAAAATCACTCTTCTCCCCTTTCTGAAAGTAATAGTCTTTGTTAATAGACATTGTATTTATTCTGAGTTTGTTCTAAATAAAATAAACTATTACAAACTTCAGATTTGAAAAACAATTCCACTCAAATCATGGAATTTTAAATGCCTTTGAGATTATAGTATAGATTTGCAGGACCCAAAAACTTTTAAAATAATTAAAATTTTAGAAGGGCACACATTGTGTTGTTGGGCTTGCTCTCAGTTAATGCAAACTCTGATTGCAAATGGATGTCATGTTTCGTACCTTTTTTATTAGGAAAAAAGCAGCAAGCCTTCAGGTGTTCCAGTGATGCCTGACACAATGAGCTGGACTTATGCTGCTCTTTACAGTTAGAGGTGTTGCATTGTAGGGACTGTGTGTGCACTGGCATCTAAGACAGTGACCTCAACAATTTTAGCTTTGCACAAACCATAGAGAACAATATTGGATGACTATATAATCAGTTGTAACATTCTGGCAGCTAAATTGCTACAAGAGTTTCTCCTTGCAGAAGCTCAAAATACAAAACTTTGAATAATTTACTCAGAACAGTATAACTTCTGACACACACAAATGCTTACATCTTTATTCATATATTCGTGTATCCACTTTTAATATTTATGTGTCATTTAGTTGTTTCTCAAGATGATGTTCAGCAGTTGGCTACTTAGAAATATACTTAGAAGTCCTCTTCTGAGTTCCTGAAAACAGTTGTTTAATTAAATGTTATACTGCAAGGTAATATAACTGTCAAGGATTTGGTGTCCTGTTGTTTTTATACTGTGTCCATTTGACATTTCCTTTCAGTTTATTTTCATTCCTGATTTTGTTGTACATACCCTTCCCTTTCTCTCTTCCCTTTGCTTCATTTATTCCCCTCCTCTTTCCCCATCCTCCAGCACATCTACTCAGTGGTGCTGTGCTGTGTGTCAGAAGATAAAGCAGGTGTATTATTGTATAATGAATTTTGTATACATGTTACTGAAATGGTGAAATCAGCTAAAGGAATTCTGTTCATAACCGTGTTTATTAATATCAGGAGCTATGTCCCAGGATAAAAAAAGGGGGACAAATGGCTACAGTTGTGAATGGTTAACAGTGTTTAGAAAGCTGAATTTTCTGTTCATGTAAGTGTTTACCTGGAGTATTAGATCTGTATGGTGGTGAGCATCTCCTGATTCCACTTCCTTTTCTCCTTGTGAACAGTTTATTGGTGCCATGCTGAAGAGAAAGACATCTAAGTGATAACATGAAGTCTTAAAATATAAAATATTTTTACTTCTCTATAAAGACTACATTGTGCATCTTTTGTAACACTGTCTCGTCATGATAAACACTGAAATAGCATGTTAAAAAATTGCCTATACTTTAATATAATCAGTTGGGGAAAACTGGCCTTTTCCTCCAATTGTATGATTGTTTCTTAAAAGGTAAATTGCTAATTTTATATTGTAGAATTCTGTTCTTCACATAATAGGTCTCACTATTCTGCATTAAAACTGTTGGTCAGAAAATGATCTATTCAAGTAAGTTTGCTTTACTTTTTTTCTTTGAAAACTATTTTAACATGCCTTATTTATTATCATGTTAACAAATAAGCAGTAATACAAATGAAATTTTCATTTTTTGACAGATAAAACCTTGCATAACTAATCTTTGGTATGGGATGATTTTGATACTATCTTTGGAGTTTTGCACTGGATATTAAAAAATACTGGCACAATGTATTGGAAGAAAACAAGTATCTGATTAATTTTTAATATTTGGGGACATTTTTAAAATCAGTATTCAGTTAGACTGAAATATTCTTTATATTTTTTATTTACTTTTTAAAGGAAACATCTGTTGAAGTAATAAAAGTAATCTTCATTCCAGACTGATGTTTGTGTGAATTTACATGTATATTTTCATGAAGTAATAGAGTTTCTTTGAGTCAAGGAGGAAAAAACAATTATCTGGACCCATTTGTTAGGTTAAAGGTGATCCATCCAGTGTAAGAACAACCAGTGTATGAGCTAAAAAAAAACAAAACCCCTTCTCCTTTATATTCTAAGAAGCTTTAAAAGAATAATTCAGGGGATGTTGGCAATACCTGCTGCTCTGTCAGTCATTGTCTCTATATGCAGTAAAATTTTATCCCTCTATAACGTAAACCTTCACAACAGTTCAAAATGTTTTTTTCCTTGGACATAAAATATTTAGATGCTATTATATTTTTGTTTTTATTATGGCTTAACTATATGCTATTAAACTCTAGGATGTATCTAAATCTTTCCTTTGCTTTTCCCTCCACCTCCTCCCAAGTAGGTAAATCTGTACTTTCACAATGTATTTAATTTTTGGGAAATTTAATGCTGTAGTAAATCAAGTGTGTGATTTATAGTAATCAGACCACTTTGATTCTTTAAGTTTCACAATTTCCTTTTTCCACAGATAATTACAGAGAAAATAATTACCAAGTAACTGATATAAGCACGCTGTCCTCTGCTGTAAAAAGTCCAAATAGATACTGTGTATGTTTTTATGTCCATGAACTTGAGCTACTCGTGTGCAATTATGTGTATGGGAATGGAGTAGTGTTCATGATTTGTATCTACATCATCATATGGATGTATATTTATTAATAAAGTCATTACTTTAAAACCAACAATGTTTACTGCTTTATTAGCACAATATTTGTGAAGTAGAGGAATGGCAAGTAGTAAACCTTTATCATGACTGGATCTTGTATTTTCTTGGCTTTCTGAAATCTCTCCTGTAGTTTGTTTTTCTTAAAATATTTACATAACTGCAATTTAAAATCCTAACTTATAAACAAATCTCACGTTGTTTGCTTTTTCTTTTTCTTTTCTTTTTTTTTTTTTTTTTTTTTTTTGCTTTTTCTTCCCATTATTAAAATGCAGCAGGCTACTAGTTCTGCCAAAGGCTTATATTTAAATTTGAGTATGGTTGATCTTTTTAGTTTAAAAATTTCAGGGGCCCCTGGGTGGCTCACTCTTGGTTTCCACTCAGGTCATGATTTCAGGGTCATGGAATTGAGGCCCCTGTTGGGCTCTGCCATCAGCTCAGAGTTTGCTTGTCCCTCTCCCTCTGCTTCCCCCTCCTGCCCCCACTCACTCACTTGTGCACTCTCTCAAATAAGTAAATAAAATATTTCCCAACAAATTCAGGCATTAAACATGGCTAATTTGTTGTTTTAATGTGGGTTTGTTTTTGTGTTTTGATAGAGAAGCTTGCACAGGGAGCAGAGGAATGGGGTGGGTAAGGGTAGAGGAAGAGGGAGAAAGAGAATCTCAGCAGGCTGCATGCCCAATGTTGGGCTCATCTTATGACCCTGAGATCATGCCCTGAGCCATAGTCACTTAACTGACTGAGCCACCATCCAGGCACCCCTGTTTTAATATTAACCTTAGGAAGAACAGAATGTGCATAATTGTAGTTGTTAAATATTGGAGCTATAAAAGGAAAACACTTTCCCCTAATTTTTTGAACATAATTTTTTGAACCTTTTTTATTTTCTCCAAAGCCTGTGCAGGTCGCCTAGACAGAGGTTTACAAACTAAGGCCCACTGTCTATTCTTGTAATTAAAGTTTTATGGGGGATCCCTGGGTGGTGCAGTAGTTTAGTGCCTGCCTTTGGCCCAGGGTGCGATCCTGGAGACCCGGGCTCGAGTCCCACGTCGGGCTCCCGGTGCATGGAGCCTGCTTCTCCCTCTGCCTGTCTCTGTCTCTGTCTCTGTCTCTCCCTGTGTGTGTGTGTGTGTGTGTGTGTGTGTGTGTGTGTGTGTGTGTGTGTGTGTGTGACTATCATAAATAAATAAAAATTAAAAAAAGATTTATTAAAGTTTTATGGAAATAGCCATTCTCATTTATTAAAGATTGTCTATGGCTGCTTTATTGGCAGAGCTGAGAAGTTCTGACAGAAGATCAGCAAGGCATAAAATACTTAATGATTCCCTTATGGGAAAGTTTGCTGACCTCTCATTTAGCAGGATAAATTGGAGTAGGAAACAGAATCAAAACCTGAAAAAAGATGGTTTTTATGCTTTTGAATAGTTGTAAATATTCTTCAGATTATACCTAAAAGCATTTTTATGTGTGCTTTTCCTCAAATTATTGAAGTACTTTGACTTCTACGTGAGAATGTGCTGTTGATTATAGGTTTCCTGTTGCTAATCTAAGGATGAGATCTATACTGTCATAGTACCAGACCATTCTCTGTGGCTCAAAGGATTAGTTATTTACAATGTCTTTACCACATTTTCTGTAGGTTTTTACATAGAGTTTTATAATAAAAACTTATTCATTATAATTAAACTTGCCAAAATTCTCACTCTGGCAATTGTCAGAGAGCAAATCAGTATCCTGTTTGGTTGAAAAGCCAGCCAATTGAAGATTTGTAGGTTGAAAAGAAGGCAATCTTCATTTACCACCTAGAATTCATGCATTGAATATTATTGACATACTTGTGGTTTTGATCCCATTAGTCACCAGTGGTGTGTGAGAATCACGAACAACTTTTGGAAATATAAATGAATTGACACTTGATAGTTTTATGACAACAGAAAAGCATGAATTTTAGAACAAATACATAGAATGTTATACTTTTCGGTGAGAATGTCCTACTAGAATGAAAGTAGGCCTGCTGCACAGGGCACCTGGGTGGCTTAGTGTTTGAGTGTCTGTCTTTGGCTCAGGTGGTGTTCCCCGGGTCCTGGGATCAAGTTCAGCATTGGACTCCCCGCAGGGAGCCTGCCTCTCCCTCTGCCTGTGTCTTTCATGAATGAATAAATAATAGGTTAACAAAAAAAAGGTCTGCTACCATACATTTTCCTTTCTCAGTACCCAGATGTCTTTGTTCTGAGTTTATGAGAATTTCATTCTCAATATCAGTACTTTCAAGATGTGCATCATGGGTATCTCATCAAGTACATGGGAATGTTAGTGCCTGATTTTTGCAAGAGCATTAGAGTAGTAGAGGTGAAGTAACACACAAATGCTTGGGGTAAGCTGTTCGCAAACATAGAATACACTACAACGTGGCCTTTTTGGTGATAACCATTATAAAAAGTCACCCTTAAAGAAATTTGTTGCTTCAAAATTAATGCCAACCATAAATCCTTTCTGAAAATGAAAACGCAAAACCCCCATTGGAATGAAAGTAGAATAGGGTACAGTGGTAATGGCTTCAATATAGTACTTGGCATAAATAAACACTTTACATGTTTTCATTAAATCACTGCAGTTTTGGGATGCCTGGGTGGCTCAGCGGTTGAGCGCCTGCCTTCTGCTCAGGGTGTTATCCTGGAGTCCCGGGATCCAGTCCCGCATCAGACTCTCTACAAGGAGCTTGCTCCTCCCTCTGCGTGTGTCTTTTTTTTTTTTTTTCTGCGTGTGTCTTTATCTCTGTGTGTGTCTCATGAAAAACTAAAACCTTTAAAAAAAAAAAAACACTGCAGTTTTATTGAATGGTATCAAAGGAATACCCCTTTTCCTGGTAGGAAAACTTGAATCCCATGGAAGAAAAGTTTACCCAGAATTACACACCCAGTAAGTGGTAGTCAGCTCTTAACCACTATCTTCTCCCCATTGGAAAAAAAAATTTAATGGGGTTCTGCTTTTAGTAGGTATTTTTGTTACCGGCCCTGAGACAAATGTCACTTTGCAAAATTAATATATTCATTTTGTCTTCATGCCAGTGGCTCTTCTGAGAATCTAGGGACTCTGAAGTAGCTTCTAAGCAAGGAGAGTGACTGGAAAAGTTAGACTTCCTTTTTCTCTAATTTGTCTTTTTCATTACTTTTAAAATCTTTAGTCTTTTCTGTTAGGTGTTTATTGCCATATGAGGTAGGCATGGTTTTGAAAGTATAGTCTGTCCATTTTGTTTTTGAGCTTCCTGGTACTGATTAGTGACTGCTAAGAAGTTAGTATGTGATATATTGTCTATCATCTATCCCTTTAAGGTTAGGCTAGCTTTTCCTGGGGTAAGAAGTTGTGTGTAGAGGCGCCTGACTGGCTCAGTTGGTTGAGCGTGTGACTTAGTCTCAGGATCGTGATTTCAAGCCCCATGTTGGGCATGGAGCCTACTTAAAAAAGAATTATAGAGTGGCAGTCATACCTGTTGCTGCCTTTCAGCTCCTTGTGATCTGTCACAACAGTTTCTTTTCCCTGGTCATTTTTGTGTTGATTTTATTTGCTAACTTTAATATGCCTCAAATAACATTTTAATCCTTTCTCATCAAAGAAAAAAATATATTTTAAAGATTTTATTTATTTGACAGAGTTCACAATCAGGCCAAGAGGTAGAAGCAGGCTCCCTGCTGAGCAAGGAGGTCATGGGATCATGACCTGAGCCAAAGGCAGATGCTTAACTGACCCGAGACTTCCAGGTGCCCCTCAAGGAAAATATTTTTAATTCGTTTTGAAAAATCCTAGTTTCTATATTTATATGACCCTTGGTTCATAATAATGCTGTTTTTGATACTGGAAATTTTAATCTTTATTAGGTTAATGTCTTTCTGAATATCTGAAGTTTCCCATTTCATCTGCCTATCTGCATGTATCCTATGTATCAGGGTTCACAGTGATAGTTTTTTTTTTTAAGACTGTTTACTTTTTTAAGGATTTATTTTATTTTTTTTTTAAGATTTTATTTATTCATGAGAGACACAGAGAGAGGCATAGACTCAGGCAGAGGGAGAAGCAGGCCCCACGCAGGGAGCCTGACCTGGGACTTGATCCCTGGTCTCCAGGATCACGCCCCGGGCTTCAGGCGGCGCTAAACCGCTGAGCCACCTGGGCTGCCAAGGATTTTTTTTTAAGCTCAACTCCATACCCATTATGGGGCTTGAATTCACAACCCCAAGATCAAGAGTCATGTGTTCTTTTGACTGAGCCGGCCAGGCACCCCTCCAGTAATGATAGTTGTAACAGGGAGCCCAAAATGCAGTGGTTCTGATAGAGGTAGCGTACTCCTCACCACATAAATGTCTTGTGTAGTCTTTCAAAGACCTGGTCTCCAAGAGACTTTTGCCATTTTCAGAAGATGGTTTCCAAGATTACTCTTTATTTTAGCTGGCCTGAAGGGAAGGGCCCTTTAGGTAAGTTGTGTCACTTCTCATGGTTTTTTGTTTTTTGTTTTTAATAAATTAATTTTTATTGGTGTTCAATTTACCCACATACAGAATAACACCCAGTGCTCATCCCGTCAAGTGTACCCCTCAGTGCCCGTCACCCATTCACCTCCACCCCCCGCCCTCCTCCCCCTCCACCACCCCTAGTTCATTTCCCAGAGTTAGAAGTCTTTATGTTCTGTCTCCCTTTCTGATATTTCTCACACATTTCTTCTCCCTTCCCTTATATTCCCTTTCACTATTATTCATATTCCCCAAATGAATGAGGACATACACTGTTTGTCCTTCTCCGGTTACTGTGGCCAAGTTCAAAAAGGGTGTTGCCTGAGTTCTCCTCTGGGATTTTGATGGAATCTTGTCTCACATTTAGATCTTTCATCTATTTTGAGTTTATCTTTGTGTATGGTGCAAGAGAGTGGTCCAGTTTCATTCTTCTGCATGTGGATGTCCAATTTTCCCAGCACCATTTATTGAAGAGACTGTCTTTCTTCCAGTGGATCGTCTTTCCTCCTTTATC